CATTTCTAGGCTGCAGTTTTGTCTGATTTTATCTTGGGATGAGATGGCTTACTCTCTGGAGGTTGCTCTCTACAACAGCCTCTGTTGTGTGGCTCCAATCCTCTGGTAGGAATGACTTCTAGGTGCATGGTAGGTTTGAATTAGATGAAACTCCAGGTGATGCCAAGATCCAATGGGTCAAACAATAAAAATGCTGCTGAAAAGCATAAACCCCTCGTGAAAATCAAGGTTATGTGTTGGCAGGGAGGGATGAGAGTGGGACATATATGCCTATGTGAATTTCATCTGTGCTAGTATGAGGAGCTTTCATTTACTGTCTACTCGTATAAGGACTAAATACTTGGGGTTTTTTTGTCAGGGGAATACCTGTATTCCTCTCCATTCCCCTAGTGACACCTGCATGCACGAGTCATGTGTGTGTATTTAAGCACTTCCACAGAGAATTCTAGGCTAACTGAGTAACTGGGAAAAATACATGAATCCATATTCTTTTGTACTTCAACCTTCCTGCACTTCGAAGAGAAGCAGTGCCTGCTGCCCATGGGCTAGCCTTTGGAAGTATGTTTTAATGAAGGGTGGAGGAAGAAACAGGCTCTCTAGCTCTCATGTAGTGAGCAAAATTGTTAGCTTTTGTTTTGGAAGAAACCTGCCTAATCAAGACAAGAGGACAGTGATACTCAGGAACATGCCTGCTCATGTGCTGGTCAAAGTGGAGACTGAGACTCATCTGCTCTGCAGAATATGAGTCACATTTTTATTTGTGTTTTTCTGAGCCCACATTGAGAAAGGTTGTGGAAGAAATTTTACAGCCCTTGATGTCACTCTGCACTTCTGCCAGACAACAGCTTGACACTTTGCCCTAGGTGTTGGATTAAATAATGACTAGAGATTGTGCAAGCACTTCATTTTAGCCATGATTATCATGCCAAGGCCTTTTGCAAGCTGGGTAGTTCTGATGTTGGGGTGGTTCCACTAACACATGCCATGAAGATAGCAGATCTGTGTTTGTCTGCACCACTATTGGTTGGCTCTTCTTTGAAAGCACTGGTAGAAAGCCTGTGAGGTGGAAAAACTGAGGGAAGAACCACTTTGTGACCACGAATGCTTGCTATCAGTGTAAACCTGGGTCATATACAGAGCCCATAACAAACACCTGAGCAAAGGTAAGCTACAAAGCATAATGTTCTCCTGTTGTACATAGTATTCTGACACAAGCATATCACTAGTCTTGGTCTGGTAAGCATAACAATGACAGGCAATACAGACCACTGCATAAATGTGCTTGTCCAGCTGTATCCTACATTGCTTTAGAATTGCCCTCTCGTAAGGTCTGTCTGTGGAGCAAAGGAAACTGTATTTCTCAACCTCAGTCACAAGCCTGAAATTTTATGCTCGCTTTCATTTTAAAAATTAGGAAGCTCAGGGCTCACCTTCTTCGGCTGGGAGAAGAGTGAGCAAGCTGCACATAGTTTGATGCCTTATGGATATGTCATCAGAATTCCTTTTTATCCTTTTAGGTCTATCGTTTTCCCCTTTGCCCAGCCCTACAGTGATTTCATAGCTTTAACTAATGATCATACAACCATAATCATGATCATGATCTCACAAACTGCTTTCCAGCTGCAGTAGCAGGAACATGGTGCCAGCACTTTTACTTCTCAGTAGTCCACTTTGTGGGTAAAATGTAAATGCAAAGTAAGCAGAGCCATGTTTCATTTACAGTTTTCTGCTTGTTCTCCAGTGCCAGCTCCCATCTGTGCTCTGCTTCAGCATGGTGGTATCTCGATGACTTGTTTCCCTACCTGCCTCACACTGTCACTGTGAGCCATCATGGGTGATTGTTTGCAGGGCATGGAATAGGTCTCGTTCTGCACTGAGGACTCAGTTTATCTGACCCGTATCAACTTGTGAGTTATCTCTGTGCTTCAGCACAGTGTGTGTGTGTGTGGCCCTTAAAAGGTTTTGCTCTGTGGCAGGCTACGCTTATGGTTGACAGCAAAAATCAGTAGTGCATGGGGGAAAATGAACCTACCGACTTTAGAATATTCACAGTTATGCCCCGATGATCCATGGTAAGCCCAGAGCCACCAGTGGTTAACCTACATGAGAACCATAGGAATTCAGGTCTGGAAGACTTAAATACCAAGACACTCTTAGCTTCAACCTTTGCCTAGTGTTAAAGGTACTGGAAATTTCCCCCTGAGGACACAGATGCATAGTTTTCACAACTAATAGCAGTAACAAGGTGGGATGTTGTTCGTGGTTGTTGAAGGACACAAGATTCACTCCCTCAGCTTCTCTATAGTGATGAATTTAAGCATTAAAAGGGCCTTCTTTCCTCCTTCCCATGGTCTGCTACCAAGTTTGGAGCTGCACACAGGAAAGACATGTGCAGGGCACAGTGTCTTGATGGTCCTGCCTTTCCCAGGGTAATGCTGTAGCCCCCTGTCTGCCCAGGCTCCTGCCTGTCACATCCCTTTGAGAGCTGCCTTCTTGGGTGAAAAGTGTTGGTCTGTTTTGCCACTTCAGGTTCTTCAGGAATCAGGGCATCAGAGTAGAGAGCTTAGTTTCTGACCTGTTCCAGCTAGCAAAAAAACCCTGAAAACCCCCCAAGAGATTAATGCAGAATAGGGAGTGCAGCAAGGAAAGCTGAGGAACTTACCTTGTTCACACAATGTTGAAGGACTAGATAAGAAATTAACAGAACAAGGAGGCACGACAGGAGGAGGTTTCCCTTCTCCCTATAACTGGAAACCTTTTCTGGTGGTCACAGATGCATGATTTACACTTTGCGTCTCCCCAGTTTCTCTCTCTGTTGGAATGAGCTCTAGCAGCAAAGCCTGGCTATCCTGTTGCTCGTGTCTTCTCGGATGCTGGGTCTGAGGAGAGAGGTTTATTTATCTCCCTCTGAAGCTTCTCTTTTTAGTAGGATTTTACAAGCAGCAATCCTGTGCCTCTTGGAAGTGCTTTTCATGTCTTGTTTTAAACATTTCTGGTGCCAGACATGAAATTACCTGGCTTACTAAATGTTTTACAAGGGCATACTGATGTAGTTAAGTTGAAATTGAAATCTCATTTGCTTCTGTTTGACAGGAAAATTTTGCCTGGACCTTGCTCCAATCCCACTGAAGCCTCACGTGACATTGGCAGGACTGGATTAAATCAGAGGAATTTGAGGGTCTTTTTCCCCACTTTTTTTTCTTTTTCAAAAGTTTAAATTAAAAATGTTGCTAATAAAATTAAATTGTAAGTTTTCTTCTCCTTTCTGTATTTTAAAATAAGTCAAAACATTTCCCCCATTTTGAAAACTTTGATACGAAAAAGCTCATCTTGTGTATCTCTGGCTCGAGATCCCATCGTATGAAGTGAGTAGTATTGTACCCCATGTCTAACCATCACAGCAGCATTTTTACCAGCCACTGAATTTTATCACTGAATTTCCCTGTTTCAAATAAACCAGGGCTGCTTCTTCATGATGGCATGGGCATGCTGCAGTGTGTTTGGGCAACCTAAATCCTGTCCAAATACTTCTGCCCAAGGTTTCCTGCCAACCCATGCCAGGTTGTCAGAGGCAGCTCATCGACAGGGAGCCCTGAGTATGGAGAATGGGAGCAAAGGAGCACTTCAGACTGTGTCCCCCATCCTCATCAGGTCCTGCTCACAGTATCGCAAGCTTAGAGTAGCCATCATGCTCCAGTAATCCCAAGAGCAAACACAGGGAACCAGAAAACAGCTCTCAAAGTCTGAGCTGTATTTTTCTTCCCAGGTCTTTTTATTGCCCAGAGTGACCACCCTGGTGCTTCAGGCTGTCTCCCCACTGATTCCCCCACTCTGAGGAGCCGTCTAGATATATCTGCTGCTGTTAGATATACAACCTCCTCTCAGAAACATTAAGCTGCCTGTTTGTTCCCAAGGACAGAAATTAGGTGAAGGTTGAGAGGACTTATCAGTAAGTCAGGGTAGGGGCAAACATAGATTGTCAGGGTGTTGCAAACATTCCCAGAACAAACACCCTAAATCCAGGGAATTCACTTAAAGTTGCCTGACTTGGTGGTATTTCTGTAGGTTACAGTGTAAAGATGTGCTGTGTCTGAAGAGACAAAACTAACATGGAAGAAGCCTCATGCAACATCCCAAATATTGAAAGCATTCAAAAAAATCTCATAAACCTCTAAGTTGTTTGAAACATCAACTGATTTCTCTCAGACTGATTGTGTCATGTTTTGGTTAGCCGAAGTTGTTTAAATGCATAAAGTCCATTTGAAGTCTCTATGACTGCTGTCACTGTGAGAAACAAACCAGGGATTTTCACTCTGATCCACAGCTGCAAATCAGATCTGCATTACCATTTGGGTTTAAAATATTCCTTTTCACGATCATGCTTTCTCCGCTAGTCTCAACAGCTGCACACAGGTTCACTTTTACAAGATCAGAACCATGTCTGGCTGTTCTGTATTAGTCGGGGTAGTATCCACAGGCTGCTTGACTGCTGTTTTGTTATACCTCCATAGTCTCAATTTTCTACGTAAATGAAGAATTAAAGTTGATTTTGGCTGATTTTTCCTGTTTTAAAGACTTTCTCCACCACTCCAGAAAGGCTGAGAAGACACCCTGCTTCCAAAACAGCACAGAGGGTTTGTGTGTTTGCCATTCACTCACTTATTTCCCTCCTGCCTCCTTGCACAGAAAGGCTTTTGGAGGAGGTTGCCTGGATTTCTGCAAGGTGCCATAATAAATATGAGTGGATTTCACCCCAGATGAAGGGCTGTACAAGCCACAGAGGGGGGAAAGGATGAGTGAATCGTGTGTTAACTCTGCAAACTGACGAACAGAATCTGTTGGACAAAGCAGGCAAATAAGGTACTTTGTATATATATTTATAAATATGTATTTTACGCTTTTTCCGCGTTAATAGATTTTAAATGCAGCTGAAGAATGGCTACACGCTGTTACTTGATGTGTTGTCCTCCAGCATTCCATTGCCTGCAGGTACCTCCCGAGGCAATACATCTTCAGTCCACCAAGTGTCTCACCTCTGCCTTTCGGGCAGCTCCACTTCACCAGAACCACCTCCTCTCTTCTTCCTCATCTCTCTCGCCCCTCCTTCGCCTTCCTCAGACCTGCGGTTACTTGATCCAGGCAGGGCAAGACAAGGCAAAGCAAGGCAGGGCAGGGCAGGGCAGCCCCGGTCGGAGCGCGGGCAGAGCGCCTTTCCCGAGGAGATCCGGGCCGTGCAGCGCTTCCTGGAGGGCCGACATGGAAACGAAATCCTTCATCCGAGTAAGTACAACAATTAACACAAAGGGGGAAGGGAGGAATCTGTGTCCCCTGGGGGTACGACAGCGCGGCGATGGTTGGGGACGGCGCTGAGCCCTTCCCCGTGTTGTCGCCCCTGTGTCCGGCGGGCTGCTCGCTGCGGCAGCGTCAGTAGGTCTCGTCACAAGGTTTCGGGTAATTCCCGTGGCGTTAGGTAGCACCTGGATCTGGGTGGGCCGCAGCAAGTATTTTAGTCAGCTGTCCATTAATTATGTCTCCCTGCCGGAACTGCCTGGTGTGAGGCATGCCACGGGCACTGCCCTGCTGCCTGCGCTCGGAACACGCAAGGCCAGGGCAGAAAGCTGCTGGGAGCAAGGGGTGTGAGGGTAGTTGTGGTGGGTTGATCCTGGCCAGACACCAGATGCCCACCAAATCCGCTCTATCACTGCCCTCCTCAGGCAGGTAGGGGACAGAAAATGTAACTAAAGGCTCGTGAGTCGAGGTAGGGATAGAGAGAGACACTCATCAGTCACTGTCACGGGCAAAGCAAACTCGAATTGAGGAAACTGATTTATTATCAAGCAAACCAGAGTAATCTTAAAAACCCTTCCTCCCCACTCCTCCCTTCTTCCTGATCTTAACTTCACTCCCGAATTCTCTTCCCTCATCCCCATAGTAGTGCAGGGGGATGTGGAATGGGGGTTGCAGTCAGTTCATTCCATGTTGTCTCTGCCTCTCCTTCCTCCTCAAGGGAGGACTCCTCACACTCCCCCTGCTCGAGTATGGGTCCCTTCCACAGGGTGCAGCCCCTCAGGCACAGACTGCTCCAGTGTGGGCTCCTCTCTCCGCAGGGCCAGAGGTCCTGCCAGGAACCTGCTCCAGTGTGGGCTTCCCATGGATCACAGCCTCCTTTGGGCATCCCCCTGCTGTGGTGTGGGGTTCTCCACAGGCTGCAGATGGATATCTGGTCCTCTGTGGACTTTCATGGGCTGCTGGGGCACAGCCTGGCATACTGTGGTCTCACCACGGCTGCAGGGGAATCTCTGCTCTGGTGTGTGGAGCACCTCCTGCCCTCCTTCTGCACTGACCTGGGTGTCTGCAGCATTAGAGAGAATTAGGCAGCCCCAAAGGCTCTGGAAAGGGAGCTGCAGAACCCAAGAAAGAAGAAAAGCAGTGCTTGTAGTTTAAATTTCTAGTCTATATACAGGACCCACATAAGTGCTGCCATACACTGGAGTGTTGCAGGTGTCCCTGCTCAAGGCAGAGGGGTTGGAACTAGATGATCTCTAGAGTCCTTTCCAACCCAAACCGTTCTATGATTCTATGATCCTCAGCTCATGTCAGCTTCAGAGCTGGGGAAGGAGAAGGACTACCCAGTCTTTTGCAGCTGCTAAATGGCAGTGTTGCTAAATGGCCCCTGTCCATGCTGATACTATATGGTAAATAGATTAGAGCAGAGCAGCCCTGGGTGAGCACTGGTGTGCAGTCTGAGGAAACATGAAATACAGCAAAAGGTGACAAGACTAGCTGCAGGTATCTGTCTCAGGAGGAGGCAGAAGCTCAGCATGTTCAGTTGCAGAGCCAGAGGGTGGATGAGTTTATCTGCTTGAGATTCAAACTTCTTTCCAAGAATAAGAATACCAGATATGGCATACAGAGGCCATTTGCTTATGCAGGGCTACAAGATCCACACCTTTATTCCCCAAATAAAGCCATGGGATGTTTTTCTACTCAACTTTGCACGAGGCCTACCAAATACCTGTTTTTTAAAATAATGAGACAAAAGGGACAAGAGAGAGTTTAAAGCACTTCTCTGCTTATGCAGTGGCCTTGCGTGTGTATGGACAGCCTCAGAAGCAGCTGCTCTTCACCAGGAGGAAAGCTCCAGGTTACACAGCTGACACATGCAGCCTGTGTCACTGTGCTGGGCATTTTCCTCAGCCTGCATATTCCCATTCTTTTCTTAACAGGGGCAGCTGTACTCAGAGTGACCAATTGCAAGCCATGCTGAAGGTACAGCAAGGCAGGCTAGATGTCTGGTGCTATGTGCATTGACAGATACAAAAGCAGATTGCATCTGTTATGTGTGGTATGGACATAAAACTTAGGAATGCAATTCCTAAAGTTGCCTCTGAAATTACCCCATGTGACTGCCAGAAAAAAAAATTAATCTATTGCACCATGTTTAAGGAAATACTCTTCATATAAACTGTATTGCTCACTTGTAAATCCAGAAAAAACAACCACCCTCCCAAAAGCAACCTGAAGAATACTCCAGGGAGAAGCAGGCTCAGGAATGAATGTGCTGAGATACAGCAGAAGGGACCACAGACCAGTGAGAACTGGAACTATTGGAGCAAGTCAAGAGGAGGGCCACGAGGATGAGCAGGGCGCTGGAGCACCTCCTGTATGAAGACAGGCTGAGAAAGTTGGAGCTGTTCAGCTGGAGAAGAGAAGGCTGCGTGGAGACCTCATAGCAGCCTTCCAGTATCTGAAGGGGGCCTATAATGATGAGGAGGGACTTTTTGCTAAGGACTGTAGTGATAGGACAAGGGGTAATGGGTTCAAGCTTAAACAGGGGAAGTTTAGATTGGATATAAGGAGGAAGTTCTTTCCTGTTAGGGTGGTGAGGCACTGGAATAGGTTGCCCAGGGAAGCTGTGAACGTTCCATCCCTGGCAGTGTTCAAGCCCAGGTTGGACAGAGCCTTGGGTGGCAGGGTTTAGTGTGAGGTGTCCCTGCCCATGGCAGGTGGGCTGGAACTGGATGATCTTAAGGTACTTTCCAACCTTAACTGTTCTATGATTCTATTATTGTAGCAGCTGAACTGATGCTTCGAGGTGAGCGCTCTCTAGGATCCTGAGGGTTGGCGACCCAGCCCCTGTCCCAGCCCTGCCATCAATCCCTCTGCCATGCTTCTGGGGTTGCAAAGGGTTAGGGAAGATGTTTCACACTGAAGTTGGGTTACTCCTCGTGATGTTGCAATAGCTAATGTAGATAGCCATTTCTCCATACCAACGAAGCTGCACATATTTGTCTTGGCTCTATTTTTATTTTCAGTTGGTCAATTTACAAGCCTGAAGTTGGAACCCTCCCTTGGCATTGTGCTGGTAGGCACTGTTATCAAAAGCAGTGTATGTTGTGGCCGAGAAGCTCTTGACATTTTGCTGCAACTACTTGAGAGAAAGGCTGACGTTTTATAGCATGTATAAATCTGTTCTGCACAGTGCAGTGGCATTAATTCAACCACAGTATATGGAATGGTTTATTCTTTTCTCTTTCCCTTCCAGAACTCCCTATGAAGTCCTAAAACAGGCACTCATGGAAGACTCTTTGCAAACCTCCATTCACATGTGCCATGAAAATGGTCAATGGATGTCACAATTACCAGAGAAGCTCTGGGATATTCCACTCTACAATTTAGCTCTTCCAGGTAAAGATTAACTTTCATTCTCCACTGTTCTGTTGGTGTGTCATTTAAGAATTGGAGCATCCTGTTTGTCCCATTTCAGGATAGCTACTTTTATTATTTGGGTCAGTGTGTGGGAGAAGGGCTTGGGGGAGGGTTTGTGTGACGTGTTCATGTGAATGTCTATAATGCTTGGGGTTTCTTAGAGGTGAGGGGGAAAAAGGATTTTCCTATTCATTCTTGCCAGTTCCTACATAATGTAATGATTTGAAAAGGAGAGAAAGAACACTTTATCCTATTATTTGTTTCTTTGTACTGTTTCAAAGAGGCTGTGAAAGTATGAAAAATGGAAGATACTTTCAATTAACATATGTTTTATTAATGTAGAGTGTGACTTTTCTGCATGACCATTCTTATAAAAACTAGATTCATCCTATTATGGGTAAATACAGCTGTGCTATAGCTGGTGTTCTTGTTGGTACTACATTCAGACCTGTGTATCACTAGCCTTTCTTTGGTCATGTTCTTGATTCTCTCTCCTGCCTTGAATAAATGATTTTCCCCTTTGGGTAGAAAGCAGCACAGCATGTAGGTGAATGCTTTGTGTAGGCTACAGGATCATAGGTTAACTTTAGCGAAGATGTATATTAGAGAGAGTGGGAAAAATCAAATCTTGTCTTACACGGGTGGAGCTGTGGTGAACCCAAGAACTATGGTGCATTTTTTCCCCTGCCTGTGGTGAGCTAATGGAGTTTTGATTAAAATTGAAACCTTGAAACAGAAAACCTTAAAAAATCAGTAGGTTGCTCAGTGGTTTGGTTTTGGTTGTTTTTTTTTTTTTTTGTGGAAAAGGAGCCATGTTTTTGTAAAGCTTTCAGAGTGGTGCTTTGTGGACATTGCAGAAAGCTGGGAACCTCTGGTGTGTGCTTTTGACTTCCCGGTTCTTCTTATAGTGACATTGTTATTCTTGTGAATGTTTGCTCTTGTGAATAAGTCTGCATGAAACAGGCAGAAGGAAAGAATAGCTGAAGACAAGCCCATTTCAGCAAACATTGGAGGACTTCTACAGACCACTGCGGGCTATTAGCTTGGGAGATTTTGGTGGCTGTCGACCTGACCTACAAAAGTGGTCTAGCTCAGGTCAGAGCAAAAGCAGATCAAGAGCAATCAGGTCAAAACAGCTCTGGCAGGTTTTCAGAGGGAACAATGACTGGGGGAAGCCCAGCTTGGAAGTGGAAGCTTATCTCAAATAAAGAAGACAAGGCATGCAAGAAATGTGACAGAGTGCATTCTGAGAGCATGGTGAGGAGACAGAGGCAAGTGTCAATAATAAGTGTTGTATTTCACCAGGTTCCTCACAGTGCTGCTGGGGAGAAGTTGCTTCAAGCTCTGAAGCTACCTGGTTTGGTATTAGCTCACTACCTTTGCATAGTATTTGTTGTGTCATGGATATACCCATCTTCCTGTCATTACTCTTAACTCACTGACATCACAAGAAGGCTTACTATCTGTTTGCTGATTGGCATCAGTAGAGGCAACACTCATCAATGGAATCCTGTTCAGTTCTCTCAGACTTGGATTTGGTCCATGGGTATTTAATGATTTGACTCTTATATCTTGTAAGACAAACTTCTTTGATTGTATGCATGCACATTAGCTTAGACTTGGATTTTCCTCTGAAACCTTCAAGTGCTCATCTCTTATATTGTTGCTGTAGGGGATGTAGGTATTTGGTTCAGGAGTGCATTTTTGCCAGAAATTTAAGATACAGATGCTTAAAATGCCAAGTTAGGAGTTGGTCCAGTCAAAGGTGTAAGAAGATGAATTTCTGCTTTCAGTCATATTTTCTTGTGCAGCGATGATGTTATTAGAGTATGAAATCCTGCATTTGGACAACACTGAAAACAGGACTAATTCTATACCTTCAGAATTATTAAAAAAATATAATAAAAAAATTCAGCCTCCAGCTATTTATTCACTGAAAAAAAAGTGGAATCAAAATAGTTATTTAAGTGGAAGGCGCTAGTTGAAACAGGCCATTTTATTGTGCTTTGAGGCAAAAAACAATGTGTAGTTTAGATGGGGACTGCTTTATTGAAAAATCTTGATGCCTTCCCTTCACAAGGATTTCACACTTACCTCACTCATGTCAGGTGAGCAACCTCTGCAGAAGAGCCCATCTTTCTGCCATAACTACATAGTCTTATCAGGCAATATAGGTGTGTGATTTAGAAACAGGGTCAGGTCAGGTACGTGCACACGGTGTAACAATGTGTTGTGGGTTTTAGTTATTAAGAAATAATATTTTCTGTACATTTGTTTTTACACTTGACAGGGAGTCATGACACCATGACCTACTGCTTGGATAAAAACTCTGCTGTCAGTGGCAACGAATGCAAGCTGGTGAAGTTTTTAAGCAAATGTATACCCTGCATTGTACACCCTGTTATCATGAAGTGGTCTACAACACAGGTAACTTGTCTGATGCTGTCATGTCAGAGCAAAGTTGAAGCCTGTGAGGCAGTGCTGAGGGTGGTCATGCTAAATGACCACAGTGAAAGAATAACAATGAAAGAATAGCTTGCTGTCCAGAACCTGTGCGCTCATGTGATACTGTGCTTGGGTGTCGTGGTTTAACCCCAGCTGGCAGCTAAGCCCCACTCAGCCACTGGTGGGATGGGGGAGAGAATCTGAAGTGTAAAAGTGAGAAAACTCATGGGTTTAGAAAAGACAGTTGAACAGGTAAAGCAAAAGCCACACATATGCAAACCGAAACAGGGAACTAATGCACTGCTTCCCATGGGCAGGCAGGTGTGCAGCCATCCCCAGGAAAGCATGTAGCAGTTACTTGGGAAGACAAACATCATCACTCCACATGTCCTCCCCTTCCTCCTTCTTCCCCCAGCTTTATGTGTATTGGATGTCCCTTGGGTCAGTTGTGGTCAGCTTTCCTGGCTGTGTCCCCTTTCAGCTCATTGTGGACCCCTGCCCTCACTGTTGGGGTGGGGTGAGGAGCAGAAAAGGCCTTGACTCTATGTAAGCGCTGCTCAGCAGTAACAAAAACATCCCCGTGTCATCAACACTGTTGCCAGCACAAATCCAGAACATAGCCTCAGAACAGCTACTATGGAGAAAATGAACTCTATCTCAGACAAAACCAGCACACTGGGGCCTGAGGTAGGTGCCATTCATACCAGATCTTCTGTGGGGAAAAAGCACGTAGGTGAGACAGGGATAATACACAAAGATGTTGCTTAAAGCTGATCACTTGGTAGTAGAAACTCATCTTTTTCATATGTTTATTGTTACAAGCAGCATTTACTATTACTATAATCAAAAGATTTTTCTTCTGCACTTTGTTCAGAAGGTAATGCTTGTCATTTTTACTGTCACTGCTGTGTGAGATGTCAGTTGTTTTCCCCATCTATATCATATAAGTATTTCATCCAGCAGAAGAGACAAGTCTTGTTGAAGGGAATTTTCTTTTTAAATGTAAGAGAAAGAAGGAGTCATCCCTCACATAAAGTTTAGCTAACTTTTTTATATGTCTTAATATTAAGCTAGCAGTTATCTCCTTGTTCTTCACAAATCTATGTTGAAGGCAAAATTGGAGATGATGTTATAAGTGAGAGCTTTTGAAGGTTTTTCTAGAGAACAGACTTCCCTGGCATCAAAGAGATACCAAAAATCTCTGAATTTCTGTTCTTATTGACAGAGTAGTTAATTATTTGGCAATTAAAACTGAATAATTGATAAAAGGCAATAATTATGCCTAGGCTTCTTTTGTTGTGTTTGAGCAGCCTGGGCAAAGTGGAGTCTTAGACAGTACCAGATATTGAATATGTAATGGCAGTGATGAGTTGATGTGGAAAGGCCCTCGCTTATCACAGTGCCTTGTATTGAGCTGCTTTTTGCTTTACCCAATGAAAGATTTAGATACCTCTGAACTTGTGGGTTGCTGGCCAGTGAAGTGACCCTGTTGGTGGCAAGCAAGATCCTTACACCATTACAGTCACTGTTGGTTGAACTCAGAGCACTGAGCAGGAAGTGGCCCATTGCTGATGGGAAAGAGGCATGCAATCCCGCCCCTCCTTATCTCTGTGGTGAGTTATTTTTCTGAGGAGGTGACTCCACCCGTTGGCATCCAGAGCAGACATCAAGGAGCCCTATGACAGTAGGACCCACAGTTCCTGGATGGCACAGTGCCTAGTAGACGGTGCTTGTCTTGAGTCCTGTCTGGCAGGGTTGCCAGTGTAGAGGCCCTGTCATGGTTTAAGCCCAGCTGTAAATCAGAACCACGCAGTCTCTGTCTCACTGCCCCTCTTTCCTCCACCCCCACCCCCTGCTCCCAGAGGGAGATTCAATTCCCAGATAATCGAAAGAATGTAGCTCCTACGGGTTGAGATAACAACAGTCCAATAACTAAGGTATTACACAAATCACTGCTGCTACCACCAATGATAACAATGATAAGGGAAATAACAAGGGAAGAGAATACAATTGCTCACCACCTGCCTACAGATACCCAGCCCAATTGAGCAGTTTATATAGTGGGCATGACGTGCTGTGGTATGGAATACCTCTTTGGTCAGTTTGGCTCAGGTGTCCTGTCTCTGCTTCCTCCTGGCTTCCCCCCCTCCTTGGCAGAGCATAAGACTCAGAAAGTCCTTGGTCAGTGTAAACATTACTGAGCAGCAAGTAAAAACATCAGTATTACCAGCGCTGTTCCCAGGCTGCAAGTCAAAACCACAGCACTGCACCAGCTACTAAGAAGGAGGAAAATGACTGCTACTGTTGAACCCAGTACAGGCCCAAATCCTTCCTGTGCAATGGCTGGTGTCAGGGGTGTAACCTGCTCATGTCCTGGATGTCTAGAGTGAGGCTGCAGCACTGAGCAGCATCGTTCTCCAAGGCTTCCTCTGAAATTTTGTTCTACAGGGTCAGTGTTCACACTAATTCAGTATTCAAGCCCAGCTGACTAATTAGAGAGCTGGATTTGTCTAGTTTTCCTATGCAGTCAACAAAAAGAAATGAATTCATCCAAAGAACAGTTCAGAGTGCCAGTTTCATCTGGCACTCTTTCTTGCCACAAAGGTTATGTATGACCTACAGCCACAGACCACAGCCACATACACTCCTATCTCCAGCGTGCTCCAAAAGAAGGAGGGAATTGCGCATGGATCACTCTTTCAATTGCTTCAGCCTGGTGCAGAACAAGAAGGCATAGAAGGAGCTGTTGGCCTGAGCCATCGCACTACCTACACCTTGAGGCACGTGGGGCTGGGCTCTTCCCCAGCCCTGGAGCTCAGGCACAGCTTGGGGAAGATTAAATTCCTGTCTTAAGAACAGAAAGTTAGATGGTTGAAGCTGGCATGTGTCTTGAGCTCTGTCTTCACCCTAAAGCTACGAATGTGGTTATTCAGGTGTAATGCCTTGTATTGATTTAGCTTTTGTTGAATCCTTTCTGACTCCAATCAGTACTACATATGCTTTGTGAAAACTAAAAGTTTTGTCCATAGCAGGTTGAACTGAGACAAAGTAGTGTTTCAGTGTATTTAATTAAAGGCAAGGATGGCCTTGGTATAGGTAAGAGACATATCATTTGGGAATTTTTGCCCCAGAAGCACAGCTTTATCACCTATTCCATTCAGCTCTCAAATCCAGTAGAAGAGGTCTGAGGGAAGTGGAAATAGAGGAATACCTCTGTTCTGTAGGACTTCTACAGGTTAATTCAAACTTTATCTTGAAAAAGAACTATAGCCAGTAGTTTTTTCTGGGTTTGCTTTTCCTTCTGTTGAGGATGAGTGAGCTCCACAGAGACAACCCTGGTAGTCTTTGATCTAATAAAATAAATACAGCCTTTTTTAAGGTGCTGATCCAGCAGGTTTTGTTCATACACATTGTCTTATGAAGAGTGACTGTGTATTTACACACAGGTTAACGGATCTTTAACATTCAGAACAGAACAGTTTCAGGCATCTGAAACTAATCTAATCTGCAATTGCGGGGAAATTGTGATCCCCCTTTTCAGAGAGTAAAATACTTCAAAGTTGCAACTTGGTGCCATATAGTGCCATTTTAAAGATGAAAGACCTGTGAAAAATGTTATAGGGATAACTTTGTAGGCCTTTTTCAGCTTTCTAAACCAAAGAAGAAAATATCTTCCAAACTCTCAGAATCTTTGTCTTCTGTTTCACCTTTCAGGTACTGACTGTGACAGAGCAACTTGAGGCTGGAGTTAGATATCTGGATTTCAGGATTGCCCACAAGCCTAATGATCCATCTGTGAATTTGTACTTTGTGCATATGGTTTACACAACCGTTACTGTACAGGTATTGCTCTTACCTTTGGGGTGGCTATAAAACCAGTGCTGTTCCTTTCACTTAAGAGCCATCATAATCTGGAAATGCTGGCCCAAGCTTTTCCAAGTAGTTTGTTTTCTTAATGTGAGGACTTCAAACTAGAGAAAATCAGCAAGGCTAGAGGCTAGTTTCAGTAGCTGCAAGTGAGACTGGAGCACCAGTCAATTCTGCTTCCTCAGCCCAGAGCTAGCTGTGCCTTGCTCTGCACTGCCTTGCCCCTACTGAGTGCCTGATGTTTCTGGGGCTTATCTTTTCTTGTCCCAGGGTGCTACCCAGAACAATCCCATCGCCCCTGTAAGGAGAGAAGTTATTAAAGAGAAGAAAGTATTAAAAGCCTAATAAAATCACAGAAACACTTTTTTTTTTTTTTCCTGAGAAAAAGTATTTCACTGAAAGGCAGTGAGGCTCAAGTCTGGATCCCATGACCAAATTTACTGTCAGATGCTGTGAAGAAACTACTGTGAGTTGCTTTTTGCATGTCCTCTGTCACTGTAAAGTAGTTTACACCTTCCTTCTCTTTGCTGCAACCTGTACAGCCAGGCACAGCTAGCTAATGCAGCTTTTCATTTGCAGACTAACAGGCTAAACTTCAGTCTCATGCTCATGATTCTGAACCCTTCACATGTTTCGATTTCATGGTGACTGCCATGCTCATGTAAACAGTTAAATGTAGTTCCTGACTACCCTGACAATTACACATGGTCTTGAAGACACTGTCATTGCCCATAACAAATGGGGGAAAAGGGCACTGTTACATTTAAGCAAGCACAGAACTTTTCCCTGTTGTGAATTTGCCACTAATACATTGTTTGTTCTTAAAGAAACCTAGGGAGATGGGTTTACTCCTAACCTGCCTCTAGGCAGTAGTATATCATTAGGATTAGTAGGATTCGTAGAATCACAGAATGGTTGGGGTTAGAAGGAACCTTAAAGAATCTGGTTCCAACTCTCCTGCCATGGGCCAGGACACCTTCCACTAGATCAGGTTGCTCAACGCCATGTCCAGCATGGCCTTAAACACTTAATTTGTGGAAATTACCAAAATACAAACCTGTAAAGTGAAGTGTGCTAGAGCCACATCCTGAGCAAAGTGGTACAGAACTGCAGAAAGTAGGATTCCTGGGGTGCGTCTCTCTGGACCACTTTGTGGGCATTTGGATGGCCATCTTCCAGAAACCTATACTGATTTTCGTTATTGTGATCGTGAGTCTGCCCCACCATCAATGCTCTGTATGTTTTATTTCCTTTCCCCTGCATAGCACAGATGATTTTCTAAGTTGCTGACTCTCTCTTGCAGGATATTCTGTGGGACGTGTTAAGGTGGTTGGAAACTCATCCTCAGGAAATTGTTATCTTAGCGTGCAGGAATTTTGATGGATTAAACAAAAAACTTCATTGTCGTCTAATTGCCTGGATAAAAGAGATTTTCCAGTGTAAACTGTGTCCCAGAAATGTAAGTATGAGATCCCTTTCTTAATTTTTTTTTTTTTAGAAAGATACATTGCAATGAGATCTTTGATTCCAAATTTTACATCAATTCTACTTCCACTGTGTTTTTAACCTAGGAAAAGTAACATTTGCCTCATCAGGGGTGTGTGTGTTATAAATATAGTCCACACTATATTTGTGGCATTTAAAGAATCAATTTTCTGCCTTTTCACAGCAATAATTATAAATGAATTTTTATGCTATTTATAATAGTTTAGGTTGGAAGTGACCTCTGGAGATTATCTAGTTCAACCCCACCATGCAAAGCAGAAATGACTTCAAAGTTACATTGAGCTGTGTCCTGTTCATTCCTGAATATCTCTGAGAATGGAGATTCCACAACCTTTCTATGCAGCCTGGTGCAGTGTTTGACCACTCTCACAGTAAATGTGTTTTCCTTATCTATCTGATGAGGATCTCGCTGTAACTTGTGTCTGCTGACTTTCATCCTTTTGCTATGCACATCTGAGGAGTCTTCTCTACACCTGCCCATTAGGTATTTGCAAACAGCTGTGAATGCTGTCCATAGTCTTCTCTTGTTCATGCTGAACAGACCCAGCTCTCTCAGTCTACCCTTGCGTTTCATGCTCCAGCCTCTGCTCGCTCTGTTTGCATGCTGTCCAGCATGTCAGTGACTTCTTTGTTCTGGGGAAGCTGCAGCTGGACCTGGTACTTGAGATGCAGTCCAACAACTGCTGGATAGAATGGAAGAACACCTTCTCTTGACTTCCTACCTATGCCTTTCCTAGTACAGCCCTGTCTGTGGCTTTGCCACATGGTTACACTTGTTGGCTCATGTTCAGCTCAGTGTTCACTAGGACCTCCAAGTCCTTTTCTGCAAAGCAGGTTTCTAGCCAGCTGCTTCCAGTCTGTCCTAGTGCATGGGGTCAGTCTTGCCTGAACACAGGAGTTTGCATTTGCCTTTGTTGAGCTTCATGAGGTTCCTGTCAGCTCATGTCTCCAGTTTGTTGAGGTCCCTCTTAACAGCATCTCTGCCCTCAGTGCATTTCTGGTGGCATGGACTTTCATGAATGTGAGCTGGAGCTGACCTGCCAACTAGCCTAATGTGTTTTCAGTCACCCAAACCTCCAGAAAAGCCTTAATTTCAATAATTAGAATTTATTTGATCGCTAAATGTTAGAAGTTGAGATTTTTAGCTTCCCCTTTTTTTACAAAATATGGGAGCTTTTAGTAGTTAAACAATTAACATTTCAAAGATGCATAGGAACAGAGGGTTTCCTCTGGAGATGTGAAGGGTACAGGATAATGATGACCCTGTTTGTGATTCGAATTCAGCCTTTGAAGCTGGTGTGTAAGTAAGGGGTGAGTATTACCATTTCAAAGCATTTTGAACAGCTGAGTTAAAATAGAACAATTCTCAGCAAAACTAGGGGATTCTGAATATACAGGTCTCAGCTGAATAACTGAAGACCTGAGTGACACTGTTTTATTGTTTCCCCAAATAACTTGACTGTGTAAGTCACAGACAAACAGAGCAGTACTGGAGAATATGGTCAAATTTACTTTCAGAGGCATGGCCAGCTCTTAAAAGGAAAACAAAGTAATGAATTGCAAAAGGGTTAAGCTGCTGATGATAGTTTGTTGAACGAAGGTGATGAACCAATGGTTTGAGATCACCTGACTGAAGAAAGAAGAGTTGCATCCAGGTGGACGAAGGAAGGGCACTGGAGAAAGGAGAAGCCAAGCATTTCCCTCAAGCAGGAAGTCTTTTTCTATGCAGTTTGTGACAGGCACAATGAATCTCACCATTTTTTGGAAGTGATACAGTTGCTGGTGGGTTTTTTCAGGATCTGATTCAGATTTAACATCAAATAACAAGTACTTGCTCACTTCTTCTAAAAGAACCCGGTATCTAGAGTCTTTCAAGGCTGCTACTTTCGTTGTACAAAATTAAGTACCCAAGTATTTATGAAGCAACTGCTAAGTAGGGGTCTGTATGTAGTACTGGCACAGGCCACAGTGTGACAACATTACATTGCATTCAAATTTTAATTGCCTTAACTATTCATGGTGTCTTCCTTTGATCTGCATTACTAGGGTTTTAAAATCCCTTGTCAGACATCTACAGTTTCATTTCTGCTTTGTTTGCAAAATAAGCACCTGTGCTCATTTCCAGTACCTTGGGCTTGGTTTTGTGTTTGGTTTTTTTTTGTTTTGGCTCTTATCCCACACCTTCTTTTGTTGTTTGTTTGTTTGTTGGTTGGTTTTAAAGAAGTTGCAGCTTCAGAGAGGCAGCTGGAGTAAAGCAAAGGCGTCTGTCAGCCACAGATCTGTGTAGTCTGAGTAGCTTGTGTCTTAACTGTAGTGATAGGACAGGGGGACTGTAGTGATAGGACAAGAGGCAACAAGTTCAGACTTAAACAGGGGAAATTTAGATTGGATATAAGGAAGAAGTTCTTTACTGTGAGGGTGTTGAGGCACTGGAATGGGTTGCCCAAGGAAGTTGTGAATGCTCCATCGCTGGTGGTGTTCAAGGCCAGGTTGGACAGAGCCTTGGGTGACATGGTTTAGTGTGAGGTGTCCCTGTCCATGGCAGGGAGGTTGGAACTTGATTATCTTAAGGTGCTTTCCAACCCTAACTGTTCTATGATTCTATGATTTAATTCTGGAGTATTTTCTGACCTAATTGGGACTTGCACTCTTTGTTGGGTGAAGAGGGATTCCCAAGTTCATTTAACCCTTGGCTCTCCTCATAGAAGAGAAGAAATCCTCATGGAAGATTTACATAAAATATTTTCAAGTGCCTTTAGCTTTCATTTTAATTAATTACATAATTGTAACATCAAAAAGCCACCATTTCCTTTTCACAAGCAACAGACACAGCTTTTAACCTCAACATTCTTAGAAAAACAATGTCTTAAGTGTTGCTTTTTCAAATAAAACTAGTCAGAGGCCTTCAATTCTGTCTGATGGTAACTCTTGAGGATTGGAAAATGTAATTTCATACTGAAACATTTAAATTTACAGACCTGTTTCAGCCCATCTGTCTGAGGTAGCTTCTGACTCAAGTCTTCCCCTCTCTCAATTCAAAGTGTTTGGAGCACCCTAATTTCATAAACTTTCTATTTAGAGAAATCAGAATTAACATATCTCTTTAAAACTTACATTTAGCCTTCCCATGTCTTAAGTAGTTCAATTTTCTTTCTCGGCTACAGTGACAAATTTGGATCAGTGTGGCGCATTTGCCAAAATGATTCCTGCTTCTCTCTGTCTGTATTCCTACAGCTGGGTGTAGGACTTTGCTCCCCTCTTACCTCCTTTCATCAAATGGCCTGTGTCTTCCTCTCCCAACAAATTTTTAGCAGCAGCATGTGCACAAGGGCTGACCCAGGGATGGTTTCTTGTTACATGGGTGTAACATCTTAAGTTATGTACTTTACTGTACTTGAGCTATTTTAACCCAACCATTGATCAACTGGCTCATACACTCAAAAGCTTTATTTGAACTGAATCTGTGCCTCTCTACCAAGGCAATATCACATGTCAGTATCTGAATTTTGGGAATACTGCTGTGTTGTTGACTTCAACCTGGGCGTGCTTTCTCTTAGGTGGTGCCAACGCTGCGGACCATGTGGCAGCATGGCCATCAGGTTATAGTCTCATATGAAGAGGATGCAGAAGTGGAAGAGCACTGCGAGTTGTGGCCTGCAATCCCATACTGGTGGGGAAACAAAACTGCCACTCGCTCTCTTATCCGGTTTTTAGAGCGTATGAAGCGGATGGGCCGCCCAGGTAGGCACAGAGAGTCACTTATAGGAAATAAGGGGCATATACAGCACCACAAATAGGAAGTTGGGTAATCATAGCATTATGGGCAATAACCACTTTGTGCATGCTGTGTGCATGAGACGTGTCCATGTTGCTGAGTCTTCTGCCCACCCATGGGCGAGTGCAATGCTCATCTTGGGTAGTGCAAACCACAGAGCCAGAATGGTCTGGGTTGGAAGGGACCTTAAAGCTCATCCAGTTCCAACCCCATGTCATGGGCAGGCACACTTTCCACTAGACCAGGTTGTCCAAAGCCACATCCAACCTGGCCTTGAACACTGCCAGGGATGAGGCAGCCACAGCTTCTTTGGGCAATCTGTGCCAGTGCTTCATCACCCTCACAGTGAAGAACTACTTCCTTGTACCTAATCTACCCTGTTTCAGTTTAATGGCATTGCATACACGCATCAGTGTATGTACATGTAATTGTAGCAGCTGCTTACGTGACTGTGTGAAAAGAAGCTCCCAGCACTGAGCAGCTCACTGGTGCAGACATGCCTATTTCGTGGGTAGAAGGTTGCTTCCACAGTCCAATGCTTGCTGCTTTGGCAGTGTTGATCAGGAAAACGCATGAAGGTAGCCTTATTCTGGAAAGAACCCCCTAGAATAATGGCAAGGCTGTAGTTACAATAGGAAATAACAGTGCTCAAGCATGCTGGGGTAGTCTAAGCTTAAATAAATCCAGTTCGTAACCTTTGATGCAACTGTGATGTGAACACATGGGATGATGGAGAGGAGAACTGCTTCACAGCCACACATCCCAGCCAAAGGAAAACGCTTGTGTAGGCGCACCCATGTTCCCACCCCTCAGGGGAAGGCTAAGAATTTGGAAGAACCCTTACAGAAACAAATGGAATTTACAAAGGAGGATAAGTCAATGGAGAACCTTTAGTCAGCAATGATCAATCTGGATAAATTTAGCTAAACTGGAATGGCTCGGTAACCCAGCTTGCTTCAGTAACTGTTTACCACAGCATGCAGTTGCAATAAGGGGAGGCAATCTACTGAAACAGTTTTAGGGATATGAAACAACACAGAATGTGAATTTACTATTTTAATGATAGCCAGAGGAACAAGATCTGGAGTTAATGCAATGTCAAGTGGTTTCTTGCTCTCCTCAAACAAATATCTAATGTGTCACCCTCTGATATTTTTGTTTCAGAAAAATTCTTTGTGGCAGGGATTAACCTTACTGAAAATTTAAGGTATATTCTCCAACATCCATTTGGATCACTGAAGAAAATGACACTCCAGAGTCTTCCATGCTTGAAAATATGGATAAAGCAGCAATATCCAGGACCACAAAAAGAATGTATTAACATCATTGCTGGAGACTTCATAGGAAATGACGATTTTGTCAAAGATGTGATAGAACTTAACACAAAAATTAATCCTTCATCACCCTGTCTAAGAAAAGGGGCTGGAACAAGTAGCATTTGATTCTCAGTTTCTCTGTGAAACCTGAAAAGGCTTTGTCTGCATTTAATGTGTCCTGGTTCAAACAGGTCCAGTTACCTTAAACCAGGGATGTTGTAAAGGCTCAGTAAGAAAAGCATTCCTACTATCATCAGGGTTTCAAGGCTTTCTCACAGAAAAGAGAGCAGGCAGACCTTGTTGAAGTCACTAGAGGACTATGGTAGAGGTATAATTTACTTGGAGGTGCTTAGATTCTGTAGCAGCTGGCAACACTGAAAGCCCCAGGAACTTAATCTTATTTTATTTAATTTATGAGCAAAGAGGAGAAATATTTCAGCAGCTGCATGAATTATTTTGTGATACGATTTTATCTTTCTTATAATTGTAAAGATATTCTGCACTACTTGCAGCCCAAACTCTCAGTCTCTTATATCAGTGTGAAACTGACTTGTCTATTTTCATAGTCTGTGAAACATATACAAAAGGAACAGTTTAAAAATATTTCTGATTTACTGAAGATGTTGTATTGACTGTCCTAGCTGACATATTTTTTATATAGGACCATTGGAAATCTAGAAGCTGTTGGTTTGCGCTGCATATCAGTTGTGAGCCCCTTTACCAACAAGGTAGTCACAAAATTATGATTTTTAAGAGGTATGTGTATTCAAACACTCTTTCTATCACTTAATGCCAGTTCTGCAGTGATAAAGATACCAAACTAGACCCCTAGACAGTTTCATCTGTGGTAATGAAGTATGTTTTACTAGGTGTTGCCAAAATATGCCTTAAGTGGAAAATAAACACGTAAGAAACAAATTCCTTATCTAAACTCAGACTGCTCTGAAAATGCAGATTCTTGGCTTCTGTCATACTCATTTGGGGTCCCATGCCTGGATTTTAATTTATGTATTGTAATAGCTCTGTAATTAATTTTCCTCTCAATAAGTAATTTTTGCTTGTGTAAAAACCGAGGGATTTATGCTCTTTGCCACTGCATATTAATCATATCTTTCTAATTTTTTAGATTAGCTGTGCAATAGATAATTGTGAAGGTTAAGAGAAATGGCAAGCATCAGGACTAAAACAAAACCAGGCACTGTATAAAGTAAGTTTGCTATGCAGCCTCATCAATATACCTCACTTTTTAGATGCACTTTATATGCAAAAGCTGAGTTCAAATGTCTGGCAAGATGTTAATGGTTGTGAAAGTTTTAAATCTACTGCTACTTGACATCAGTTCAAACCCATCCTAGACTTCTCAGCATGAAAGGCCAAGATGCTACCTCCTCATGCAATGTCTTGCAATTGCAGAATACATGAATAAAAACCCTTAAACATTCCATTTATAAAGAGTTTTTAAATGCTTTGCTTTTTATCCTTGTTTCTTACCTCTGTGTACTTCATACTAAGCAGTCACTCAGTTCTGATTTTTTTTGAGTCACTACCTGCATGAAGTGTTCTATTACATATTCTCAGAATGTTTTTTTGCCTATCTTACCTTTTGTACTCTCATGTGGCTTGTTACTCCATCTAATAAAACTTGAGTTCTCTGTAATATGGACTGAAATAGTTTTGCTTCTGCTTTTTGTGATGATACTGCTTGTTTTATTGGTTCCCAGTAGTAATTCATCACTCAGGTAATGGATCAGCTTGGTTTTTTTTTTTTCCTTTGTGAAATAATTTCACACAAAATCCAGTTTGCTGTAGCTTACGCATTTGCTCCAAGAACTGACACAGTAATAGGTATTGTGGATAAATTACTGTAGGCAAGACAACTGTATGGGTAAAAGATGTTCACAGATAATTTCATTTATAACTTCATTTATTTTATATAAATGTATTGCTTAAATATACAAATCCATGGGGATTTTTGCTTCATGTCACGGTTTAAGCCCAGCCGGTAACTCGGAACAGCTGAACCCAGGACACTTCAAAAATAAGATGTGGCAGTTATTTTACTTAGGTTCATGCACTGTATTTGAATACATCTTGATCTGTATTATTTATATACAGCCAGCAACATTTTGTTCAGTAACTTTCCTTTTCCAATGACCATCCGAGACACCTTAAGTATAATAAATATTTTGTTCTAAAAAAAAAGGGGGAAAAAAGCTTTATTTATATAAGAAACTTGGTGCTTTTCTGAAGGTTAATTCAGATGCCATCCGATGATTTCCATGCATAAGAAGGTCCACAACTTACAACCAACAGCTGTTTTAACATTAAAAACTTGGTGCTGTTCTTACAGTTGCTGACAGAATGAAGCTCAGAGTTCTTACTGTGTCCAAATAGAAGTTTTCTGAAACAGCGTCTGCTTCTAAAACACATCAAAATCATCAGCTGGAGAAGGAATACACTCTTCAGCACCCACACTAACAAGTCGTTGATGTAATTTCACATCTTCTTAATGAGATCAGTTTCTTTTCCCAGAAAAGCGGATGCAGTTTCATGGCATATAAATCTTACTGTTGGGAAAGAGGTTTTTGTATTTGCCAAAAGCAGAATTGCCGATTATCACCTTCACCCTGGCTGTGCCATCTTCAGGCATCACTTCTATTTCCTGAACTGTTGCTTCCTTATAGAGCCAACTGTAACAGTAAAAGTGTATTAGCATCTTAAAGGTATAACACACTGCATACAATGTGATCTTTATTTTAGGCCAGTATGTTGCAATCTAGGTAATGTAACAGTTTAAAAGAGAAGTGCTTCACTTCACTTCTAATTTGCTACTTGCTCTTTGGAAATAGGGTGCAGTGTTTTCATAAACCTTTCAGATTTGTATTTTTCTCAGCAATCTGGCTCCAGGACCAGTGGCATGGTCTTTCAGGAAGTATGTTTTATAATACCAACACACAGACCTCGGAAGGACACTTTCAGCAGCAGACTCCACAGTATCTAATGGGGATATTTGTTCTCAATGGGTCAGAAAACTTTGATAATTGTCACTGTAATCCTTAATGCAGATTGATATCAATATTATATGATTTGGAGATTTTAAGACATGCAAGAGGAAGAGTTTCATATTTCTCCAAGTCCTTACAATTAAAAATCATTTACCTTAGCTGAGGTCCCTCTAAGTTGACGTTAACTGTCAGAATCTTTTTCCCTGTTGCTGTCAAAATTTTTTTCTCTATTTCTTCTTTCAGCTCTTCTAAACCTTGTCCATGTAGAGCAGAAATGGTTAACGCGTTTTCTTCAGCGGGTTTATACCTTAAAAATAACAATTGCAGATACGTTTGCCCATGAAGATGAGGTCACGAAAATATTCCAAGCATGGACCATTTAATTGTGTTACTTCATACTGGCACATTCCTACACGTTGTGTCTACACAAGCGATTTATTTTGTAAGTAAAAGATAATTCATTCTTTTAAAGACCATAGTTACATATGTAAAGAATTGAGAAACACTATTAAATGTATTCAGAAGTGTGGGAGCTCGTTTCTAGACTAAGAATTAAAAAGATTTCAGAACATAATAACTGTCTAAGTACACTCAGCATCTTCTGCTTACCTTTCTATCAAATCCACTTTGTTATGAACTTCCACCATTGAATCCAGTAAATGGCTGGGAAGATTCAGGTTCTTCAGAACTGACAGCACAGTTGCTTTCTGGAGGATGGTTTCTGGATGAGTAATATCCCTCACATGAACTATCAGATCCTAGCAAGCATCAATATATAAGACAATTACTTAATAAAATACACCAGTTAGCAGGTTGTAGAAATTTTATACAACAATGTAAACCAAAGCCTGTCAATCAAGCTAGCTACAGAATTCAGATTTCAAATAATAACTGATCAATTTTTTCAAAGCTAAGGCTGTGTAACAACAAAGCTTAAAAAATACTAGGGAAGGAAATGAGTGAGCTCCAAAATGGTTTTAGAGTAATGGCTGAAAAAACTGTTTCAAAATGAGGGAACACCTCCACTTAACTTGTAATTCTGTTTTTACATTCAAAATGCAGAAGATTATCCTCATCCTTAGCTCCTGAGATACTATTATTGCTGCTTCACTTAGAAAGTGTTATACAAAAGTCACCAGTTTCAAGTACATACACAATCATGTTTGCTGTGATACAAACCAACCAAATTCAATATTTGCATTCAGTGTTTCATCATCTGCTCAAGATACTACTTGAAACTTCCAAAAATCAGTAAGAATTAAATTTCATGCCTTTCATTTAACACTTCAAAATAAGAAACAAACAGGATAATTGCAGCCAGGTTTTGAAAGTCCTATTATTACACAGTGAAGTCTAATTCTCAGCAGCATTCCAGCATGTAGTTACCACTGAATTTCATTACCTTTGACAATACAAGCTTTTTGTTTAAATGTCTGTGTATGCAGACTTACACTTTGCTGTAACACAGGAAACTAATGAGAAAATGATTGGAAAAGTGTATTTATGTTTATTACATGCTGCCTGCATCACATCACAATCATGGCCTCATAGTGCTATAGGAAACCTGAAGTTAAAACCAGATCATTCCAGAGGCTTTATTTCATTTTTAACTCTTAAGAAAGCTAACCTCAAATTATTCAGATGCAATGTTTAGGTTTTCAGATATTTAATGAGTAAAGTCTAAGTTATCTGGTTTACGTTAGTGGAGAAGGACACATATACTCCAAATAAACCCTTTCTGAAATCTCTTCATATCTATACATTCTGCATAATTTCAAGTATGAGAAAATGGATTTATGGTGAGATACATCATTATTTTAGGAGCCCACTACTAGTCAGCCACATGCTTCGCTAACAGCAGTATGCCAATTGACTTTTTTGAAGGAGTGAGGATTATCCAAAAGGAAATTAATTTGACTTCTCAATTCTTATAGTCAACTACTTACTGAGTAAACTACTTCTTCTAAGGTAGCTGAAAAGGACTCAACCAGATTATGTGGAAGATCAGTCAGAAATCCAATAGTGTCAACATAAATAACTGCCATACGTGAGGGCAGATAGCCAGCATGGGCTGTAATATCAAGAGTGGCAAACAGCTGATCTCTGGGCTGAATTCCTGCTTCCCCAGTCAAGGCTTTGATCAAAGTAGTTTTTCCTAATTAAAAGAAAAAAGACAAGATTTTGGTGGCTTGTTTCAAGTAAAAACTTAATTTGCAAGGCTCAGGTGAGTTGTATGATGTAACATATTTTTTCAGACCTATTTAATTTAAATCTAGCCTATGCTTCCCTGGAGATGTTCAGGAGTTATCTGGACACAAACCTGAGTAATGTGCTCTAGGTGACCCTGCTTGAGCAGTTAGGTTGGAGATGATCCCTAGTGGTCCCTTCCAACCCCAACCATTCTGTGATTAGTTATCTATATGATGTTAGGAAATCCAAAGACAGTCTTAACTTTTGAAAACTGGAACTGGATTTAAAGCCACAACTATGCTGCAAAACTGCAAGATGATCAAAGACTGAACTGACCTGCAAAGTGACCTACCCACATCCCTCACCTCTCAGACTATCTGAAGAGCACTGCCATGACAGCATTAGGAAACATGCACACTCCTCAGTGCTTCTGTTGTCAAACAATCCAGTATTTACTTGTTAAAACCAACAGTAAACTGAAGCACTAATAATACATAGTTTACTAGGTTTAAGCTTTCATTGCACATTTCCTCACGAACTTATCACTAAAGACATTCATTTAACTCAGTGAATATTTCACAGAATTTAGTCATTAAAGAGCTCAGTATATACCCTGGCTGACGTATTTCAATTATGTGTACAATACCGCAATATATATATATTTGATTCTTCAGTTTTAAAAGTATGGAAGGGGTAATGGGTTCAAACTAAAACAGGGGAAGTTCAGGTTAGATATAAGGAAGAACTTCTTTACTGTGAGGGTGCTGAGGCACTGGAACAGGTTGTCCAAAAAAGTGGTGAATGCTCCATCCCTGGCAGTGTCCAAGGCCAGGTTGGACACAGCCTTGGGTGACACGGTCTAGTGTTAGGCGTGCCTGCCCATGGCAGGGGGGGATGTTGGAATTAGGTAATCATAAGGACCTTTCCAACCCAAACCATTATATGATTCCGTAACATAAAAATTCGTACAAGGTAAGTTTGTTTTTATAAAGATGTCAAATAAGAAAATGAAATGGGTCTTAAGATAATGTAACCTGAAAAAGTATCTAGTCCAAAGACTATTTATGCCTTGTGTATGAAAAACTTCAGCTTGATTTAGATTCTCTTATGATAACATCTCAGAACACTATACACCAATCAATAAAAAGCTACAGTGCTTCTTAAGCATATTTCCACATCAGCTGCCACATCTCCTGAGTTTTCCTCCTGTGCCTCAAGCCTTCACAGTGATCCAAACATCAACATACTTTTCTCTCACTCACTCTGATCAAGTAATAGAGATTCATATAAAGGGACACTAACAGTATAGTCTTCAGCACTATATGTAAAATCTTTTTGGCAAAACAGGTACTAGGCATTTCTCCAAAACATATCTTAAAGACCAAAAAACCCAAAAGAACTAACTACAACAAGCATAATTTGCTTTCCTAACTATACCCTAATTGACACACTCATTACACAGTTTAAAAACTAATTAAAATACGAAGCCTATTCACACTGAAATGAGATTCTTACTAGAGATTCTAAGTAAAAAATAGACAATGTAAGCTCTTTTGTGCTACGGTTTCACGAGTTTTTGCTTACCACAATTAGTATAGCCCATTACTGAGATAATCGGAAACTCGCGTTT